CGTGGGACCGATGGAAAGACAAGCGTCCCGCGATCGACTCGCTCAAAAGTAAACAAATTGTTTCTCGTAGACCGTGGGACCGATGGAAAGACAAGAAGCCCAATTGGCCACATTTCTCATTTTCAATAAACACACCCAAAATGACATAAAAAAAATCTTATCCAAGGTTGAGAAAGTGTTCATAATTATCCATCCTCTCCAACAATGGATGAGCTATATTTTTTGTCATTTTCATGCTGTAGAATATGGCTCATCTCAATTATCAAGAGACTAGCTTAACATGTTTAATTCAGGTGACCCACAAGCCCGTAGACGACGCGGGAGTCACAAACAGCAAGACGGCTAGAATATCAATTAACTAAATTAACTTGGCCCGTGGGACGGAAATGAATGTGGTCCAGCGACTAATAGGTATAAGATGACATAGGACGCATAATTTTACATAAGGTGATGAATTAAAAGTTTTTTTTTCTCTACGTGTGTACCATCTAGAAATGACTACATTACAACTATGCCGGTAATAAGTTTGCTAAGGAGTTATATTTTTATGAATCTACTATAGCTCGTCTTCTGTGTCGTAGTCTTTATTGCCATAAATATCCTCAGCCTCGTCATAGTTACAGGGTGAACGAGCGCCGAATGATTTTTCTGATTCACCATCAAGGTGCTGTTCATCCACGTGCTCCCCTGTATGCGACCTATCGTGGAACGTCGCGTTCATCGAGTCATCAAAGCTATGCTTTTCCCCCTGATTCATCGGGACACAAATAGGGTCGCCATCTATATTAGCAGCATCTAGATCAATTATCTTAGACCAACAGATAGCACATACAGGAATACGCGGGTACAGCTCCGCACCTGTCACAGCGTCCTCCGGTGGTGTGACACGCTGAGCGCAGTGAAAAACTTTAATCCTGTCCTTCATCTGCTTGTTCTCGCGAGCACATTTCTCCGCAGTATCATAAGTTTTATCTAAACCCGGAACAAGATAGAACATCTCTGTTAGTGTTGCTATAAATGGCGCAGGATAATGAAATGTGTGCATGTCGAACTTCCTATTTGATGGCAGCCCTAAATTAATTACCGGGTCACAAATCATACCCAAGAACCGCTTCCACCAACCTGTTCCCTTCATTTCAGGCGTGGAGAGCCAGTCCTTGATCGTTCCTATGTCCAACTCATCCAACACAAAAGCTAGAATGAGAGGGTGCTTTGATCCTAATCGTTCTAAAACGTACGACCCTTCGCCTGGTTTATCGTACCCGTGCGCCAAGAGGATCTTCTTGAGCGGGTAAGTCGTCCCCCATGACTTACCCGTTCCCGCTGAGCCCTCCATGATGAGAAAATTCCCTCGATCTTCTCTTCCCTTCCTCATCCACATGACGAGCTCCTGTGCGAATTTGAGACCATCACCAAACTGCAGTGTGCCCCACTCGATCCAAGCACGGAGGTAGCCGCACGAGTGGCTGTTCTCTTTGTCGTGTTTCTTGTGGTAGTCTCGCACCATGTCCTCGAGTGTCGGCTCCTTCAGAGGGTTGCGTCCTACCACGCTCGCGTAAGCTCGATCGAACTTCTCTCGGGCGCACGGGTTGCCAACATTGAGGTAGGTGTCAAGGCGAGTGTTCGTCTTGGATTCGTCATGCGCTTGCTCGACGCAAGTCCACTGGCGCGCCTCAACCAGGTTTCTAAACTCCACCGGGTTCATCGGTTTACCAACTTCAAGATCAGTCACTTGAGAAGCGATGTACTCGATGGAGTGCCGCACGCAACCCGGCTTGACGTAGTGAGCGATTTCCCCGAATAAATGCGCGCCTTTGCTTCGCGTAGGCTGCGAAATGTAAAACACGCTGTTTGCGAATTTCAGCTCCTTGAAATTGCAATCAAATCCTGCCTTCGCTAGCAGAGAGCGATAAGCGCCCCACCTGGTTTGAGGAAAGAAGCCAAGCTGAAAGGACGTGAAGAGAAAAAATGACTGAAGTCAAAAAAAGGAATTACTTGACGAAGAGTCAATCAGTACGCCATTGAAAGCAACTAGTCCTGTGACAAGATTGCCCATGATAACGCCGTGGCACGAAAGAAAATCAAAGACGAAAATACCTGAAGCGTGACGCGCACGTGATAGCAAGATGCCAGTGCTTTCTGTAAGTTTTCGTTCCGAATTCCTCTCGCCCAACCAGTTCCCGTATCACTGGGTGCCCCGCTGATGGCTTTTTCGTTCGCAAGCTCTTATCCGGGTGATTGCCCTCTACGATTTTTCGAGTAGTATCCATCAACTCGCTCAGAGTACCACCCCAGTTGTGGCCGGTGATGAGGTAGCTTCGCACGCCGTGATGGCCACCACTCTGCTTTGCCTGCTCGTCAAGCACGCTCCCGTCAACACGCGTGCGAACTCCTTCACCACCTTCAGCAGCATCTTCTTCGACTCCGGCCGACGTCTGCATGTTCTGTTGCGTTTTGCCGTCGCACGGCGCGTTCACTCGGAGGCCTGGAAACTTGACACGAAGTAAATCAATGAAGCCCTGCATGGCGTCGCCATCTTCTTCAACATCAACGTCGTCCGTACTGGTGAAAGTGGCGTTGTGCGCGTCTGACGCTTTTCCTGAAGAAGAAGATGATGCTGCTCGCAGACCGAACCTGACGGAAGACGAAGAAGACGAGCTTGTCTCTGCGGGCACTCTGCAAGACGATGAGCGAGCTTGCACAGATGCAGAACAGCTAGACTCCACCGCAGATGGTTGCGAAAGCGCCTCCTGCAGCAGCGACGCCAGTGGAACCTTCTGCTTCTTCATGTATGGCATTGCAGCAGGCGCTTCCTGCTCACGCTTCTTTGAGTGCGCAGCTTGCGCACGATGCAGCTGCTCCACGAAGGCTTTTTTCTCATTCTCAAGGCGCTCGCGCTGAAGCTCCAGCCGCTTCTCATTCAAGGTCGCTTTGCCCAGAACAGCTGCACTTTTCTGCTCCTGCCGCAGTCGCTCTGTTGCAGTGCGAACCGTAGCTGCGTCGCGGCGCCTCTCTATAGCGGCTAGCCTCTCTTCTTCAGCGAGAGCAGCGCGGTGCGCTCGTAGCTCAGCCAGTCGCAGTTTTTCGCTTTTCACCTTTTCCAAGCGTGCTTGCTGTTCATCGCGTTGCAGTTGCCGCTCCTGCTCCTCGCGGCAAAAAGTAGTGAAGATGTCTTGACTTCGTGTTGTATGGCTGTTCTTCTTGAAGTAGGTGAGCGCCTTCTGCGTCATCGTGATACTGTTTGACACTTTTGCATCAGCAAGGACAAGCGCCATGAAGTCCACAAGGCCATTCCCCTGCGTAGAGCATTTGTCCATTGCTTCGCCGAAGAAAGAATCAAGATGCTTGTCGCTGTCGCCAGTAGGATGTCGATGAAGCTCATCATCGTTAGAAGCTGCGGTAGCCGGGACGTGCTGATCCTGCTGGTCGAAAGGATCGTCGGAGCTGCCATCCTCCACCTTCGACTGCGATTTGTCCGCGGTCATTTCTGTCTTCAGACCAGCAGGCGCCTGCTTCATCAGCTTTTGACTTCGAGCCGCAACCTTCTTTGGCGGCGCCTTCTTAGCTGCCATTTTTTTAGTGTTGCCCATCTTCAAAGGCCTGACTACAGTTACCCGCAGGAGTGAAAGCCGCTTGCTACGCGTGTAGTACTACACAAAAGGGCCACCCAATAACAAAGTAACTTTCTATCCTAAGCAAGTAGCGCGATCACTCAGCGAGACAATAGCTGCTCACTCTAGAAGAGCAGGCGCTGCATCTTCAGCGAGATAAGTTCGTGAATAATCAAGACAGAAGCCTTCAGATCACAAGTTATTACAGAAATAGCTATGTTAGATATCATCATTAAAATCTTAGAAGCAGCAGTTATGGGCATGATGCTAAGCCGGAGCAAAAATAGAACATATAAAATTCAAGAAGAGCAAAGCTTTGAGGGGGGCAAGGAAGTACAAGCACGCGAAGATCATAGCATACCGATCACAGATTCAGAGCCACAAACCGACTGCACTCACTCGAGACAGACGGCATCGCAATACCATCGGGAGTAAAAAGAGAGACCGACGGCGTCACTGTGTACCGAACTCCATTAAATTTATGCACTAGAACACAAGCTTCCACGTGAGAGAAAAGAGCTTGCGCGCAGAAAGAATTGATCAGCTTGCGTTCATGAATTCACAAATTTGCAAAAGCATCTATATTCAGACGAGTAACTAAGGGCTACCATCTTCAAATAAAGAGCTAGCGCTGGCATGAATTCGAGATCATTATCTAGCAGAACAGCTAGAGACAACCTTTGAGCCTGACAGAATTCAAAGGATAACTCGAGCCGTTCGCATTCGATGGTAGTTGGCGTGCTGCTTATCCTCTTATTGCTCTGCCCCCGCGACGTTTTCAGCAGACGACTCGTGGAACTCCACATCATCTGAGTAAGCACCATCCGAAGCCTCACCTTCATCATCGCCGCTTGCCGGAGGGTTGGTGGCGCCTGCACCAGCAGGCTCTGTAAAATTGTTCACCTGCTGCCCTTCCAAAAGGAACGTCTGCAAACGGCCATGCAGTAAAGCGATTGCAGAGCGAGAATCTGGCGAGTAGCCACAACGAAGGAACTGATGCGCATCCGAGTACTGTGGCTGGTAGCTGAATTTGCACGCGCGCCACACTGCAGCCAGTTCACGACCGATGTCACCGTTCAGCAGCTGTCTGCGCAGCCACGCCTTCAGAGAACGGAAGAGACTACCAACGTCCAATGGCTGGCAGTATTTCGTGGTCTCTGCACCAATGAAAGCGACATCAATATCATGACGAATCGGAACACCAGCAGGAAAAGCGGAGACGTGCGTCGAAGCGCGGTCCAAGATGACAATCAGGTGCATATTTTGGGACTCCTCTGCAGGCAATGACATGAGGAACGCCGACCAACTCGGCTTCACGAAGTTGTTCATCCAGTCCGTCANGGAGAGTGGATGTTTTAAATCTTACAAAACTGCGAGCGGAATTAGACCAGGAAAGAGGTCGAAAACAACGCTTACGGGGGTAGTTTTATTGAAAAAGAGGGGGCCACAAGATAAATATCTTCTATCTATCACTGAGACAGGCAAAACAGATAGACTTCGAGGTGGAAAGAACGGCGGAAGGCTATGGGATATAAATAACGAGAAACTAACGACTTGTTGGCATCGCTCATTCGCTCGCGCTCAGCCCTCTTCTCCTGTCCACCCAGCGCCAAACTCCAGTCCAAACGCACACAAACACACGGGAAACAACCCGCCGCCGCAAATTTTATTTCGCGAGTGCCATAATTTTAAATCTCCTCAAGCACGACTAAATAATTTATTTTTTGTAAAAAAAATAAATATTTTTTGAGATCGTTTTTGATTCAAATACCCGCACACGGGCGGGAGGGATGAAGACAGAGTCTACCTAAAGTGCGAGTGGGTTCAAGTTTTTTGGTTTGTTAATATTTTTCGAATTTCTAGAGCCGTAGAGGCTCAAACTGCGAAGAGCTCAAGTCTCACAAAGTTCACGCATATCGATCAATAAATTGACAAAAGTGTAACCTTTTCCAAATTGGCCCACCACTCCAGCCACGAAGGAAAAAAAGCTGGGTAAAGCAGGTGCCGTTTTTTTTGGCTGGCGGTGGCTGTGCAGCGAAAAAAAATGACATCCGTGGGGATTCCTTTTGCCGAGATTTTCTGTTTTGCAGTAGGTTGCAGGAAAAATGCAAAGTCGTCAACTTTGTTGCTTTTTTTTTCGATCAGCGCTGGCACTTCTGGGGAGTCAAAGGAAACTGGGTAGGCTTACAGGGGATCTTTTTCCATAAAAATACAAAACGGCGACAATCACTAAGCTGCCAAGTTCTTGCCTTTTTTTCTAGTCAGCACTGCTAAAAAATCTGGAGGGTGCTGATTTCAAGCTCGAAAGTTATCAAAAATCTGCTACGTTGTTGCCTTTTTTTCTAGTCAGTGCTGGCAACAAGTCCCAGGGTGCTGCTTTCAAGTTACAAAGTCGCTGCCCTTGCTCCTTGTCTCTGTTTGATCCGGGCCCTCCCAAACCAGACCCAAACCAAACTCGAACCAAACTCGAACCAAACTCGAACCAAACTCGAACCAAACCCGAACCAAACTCGAACCAAACTCGAACCAAACTCAAACCAAACTCAAACCAAACCCAAACCAAACCAAACCCAAGCCAAACCAAAGCGAAAGAAACACAAACCCAACCCAAACCCTAACCCAAACTAACCCAAACCCAGGCCCAAACTAACCCAAACCCAGACCCAAACTAACCCACACCAAAACCAAACCCAACCCAAACCCAAACAAGTCCCAGGCTGCTGCTTTCAAGTTACCAAGTCGCCAGAAGCTGAATAGGGTTGCCCTTGCTCCTTGTCTCTGTTTGATCCGAGCCCCCCCAAACCAGACCCAAGCCAAACTCGAACCAAACCCAAACCAAGCCCAAACCTACCAAACCCAAACACAAACCAAACACAAACCAAACTGAAACACGAACCAAACTGAAACACGAACCAAACTGAAACGCGAACCAAACTGAAACACGAACCAAACTGAAACACGAACCAAACTGAAACACAAACCAAACTGAAACACAAACCAAACCCAAACCCAAACCAAACCCGAACCCAAACCCAAAGCAGGCTCAGGCCAAACCGAACCCAGACCCGGGCCAGGCTTAGACGTGGGCCGAACTTATCCCAACCAAACCCAGACAAAACGTAGACCAAACCCACGCCGGGCCCAGCTCGCCAGGCCTCGGCCCAGGCGCTTGCCTAAACCAAACCCAGACGCAAACCGACCAAACCCGACGGGAGCCCGCCCGGCCTCAAACCAAGCAGACGTGCCCAAAGCACGCCCGGAGCTCGAAGCGAGGCCGGAGCCCGCAGCATGCTCGAAACCCGGGCCAGGCCTGCCGCTTGCGCTGAGTCGGGGGCCGGAGCCGGGCAGGCTGCGACGCGCTGCGCGTGCGTCTTCTCGGCTCTTCTCTCTTCTTTTTCTTGGGTTTTCTGAACCGCAGGGAGCCCGCGGCCAGCAGCCACCGCAGCGCGCCCTCGAATCCCGAGGAGCGAGAACGAAGCGGGGAGAAGGACAAGAGAGGCAAAGGGAGGCACTTGGGCGGGGCATGGTATGGCGATGGGTGCTGCGGCTTCGGCTGCGCGTGGTCCTTCAATGCTGACACGGTCAACGCGGTCCCGCCTGTGTTGCCTTTGTCTTCTCTTCTGTTCCCCACTCGTTTCCCTCTCTTCCAGGAGATTCGAGGGCGCGCTGCGGTGGCTGGTGGCGGGCTGCACTGCGTGCGCAGTGTGTCCGCCTCGGTCTTCTTCGTGCTTGGTTCGCTCCCGAGATTCGAGGGCGCCGCGCGGTGGCTGGCGGTGGGTGCTGAGGCGAGTGCAGTGCGCTGCCCGTCTTTGTCTTTCAGGACGCTCCAGCGGGGCCTAGACTGCTTCAAGCCCAGAAGCCCACCCGGGGTCGGGGAGCTCTGGCGACTAGAATCGACACGCGGCTGGGGTCGGTTTTGGCTTCGTTAATCAGGCGGGGACGGTCTCTCCCCTCAACGAAATGAAGCCGCTGAGGGTCTTGCCGGGGAGGGGTCGAAATTGTCCAAGTTTGACCATTCTGGGGCGTGTCTGTCTGACATTTTGGAGACACTTCGAGACGGCCCCAAACCTCCACCAGAACAGAGAGAAAACCAGAACGGGCGCGGGACTCCTTCGGGACCGCGGGCCCCTCTGGAGTCGCCCCGACACATTTGCGGCAGCCCGGTCGGTGCTCATGGGTGAGCCTTCTCCAAGCTCCTCGGAAAGCCTGGGGGGCTGTGCGCGGTTTTCCTTATGCAGGGCCAGGATTTTAAACGCCGGGCAAGGGCAGCTTTCCAATCTGAACTCTGTAGACCATGGCACTTCTCCGGTGGTGACTAGATAGAAAAACCGTAGAGAATTTGATAGATTGGCTATCTTCTCGCCATCCACTCAGCCAAGAAAATAAAAAGAGAAGAGATGCGAAACATGAGCGCAGTCAATTCCTTCCCCAAGCTGCCACAGCAGAACTTAAAAAATTTACGAAGGAGATCACCCTGCTCCTGTTTCATCCAGCCAGTTTTTTTTTCTGGCAGATGTGACAGAAATTTTTTTAAAAACATTGGCCATTTACATTGTGTGGAGATGGCCGGACGAGTTTCAAGAAGCTCCGAAATTTTATGCAAATGAAGACACGACCTCGCAGAACCTGAGAAAAATGCTGGCAAACCGAAAAAATTTTAAACCGCAAAAAATTCGGGAAACGGCAGGCACCTGCAACCCGCGCCAGGCGTTTAAGCTTCGAGCACGACTGGACTTGCTCGCTCGCTTCGTGATTTTTGCCAGTTTTGAAATTTTTCTGAATTGCTAGCATTTTTGTGAGATTCTGCAAGGCCTTGCCTTCGTGCATTTTCATAAAAGTCTGGAGGGTCTCGAAACTGGTCTAGCCCTCTCTGATAGATGAACGAGGGCAAGCCTTTGAAAAAATCTCTGCGACGTCTGCCACACAGGAAAAAGCCGAGGAGGCGAGACAGAAGCAGGCCGATGCTTTTGCTTTCCTTCTAGAGTGGATGGCGAGAAAGGTGCAAACTTATTAAATTCGTGCAAGTTTTCTACGCAATCGCCCCGGATAAAAGTTCTCGAGCCTACTGGCTTCAATTTGAAAAGTGGCCCAGAAGCTGCTAAATCGTGCAGGGAAAAACTGAAACACCACTGGGAAAGACGCCACGGGCTACCGGTCTCAAGCTGAAAAATGGCCCCAAAGCTGTTAAACCGTGCAAGGAATTCCCTAGGCGCCGCTGGTAAAAAAGCCAAAGCCCTGAGGGCTCAAGTTGGAAAACGGCCCGGAGGCTGCTAGGTTGTGCCTACTTTGTTCCAGTCGCCACCAGGAAAAAACCCAAGACCAGAAGGACCAGGCTGAAAGATGTGCAAAAGTGCGCCGCTTTCTGGTAGCCTTAGGCCACACACTTAAGCCAGGCCCAAACCAGAGAACGCCAACGAGGTCCAAATCGTGACCAAACTGAAACCAGACGCGAGCGAAGCTGAATCCCAACGCAGGCCAAACGCAAACCAAACCTCAGCCACCTTCGAGCCGAACCAGAGCCAAACGCAAACCGGGCCGAAGCGCAAACCAACCCAAGCCCGGACCAAACTCAAGCCAAACCCAAACCACGCCCGCGCGCAAATGCAACCCCAACTCCAGCCAAACTCAAACCAAACCCACGCCAAACAGAAACGCGAACCGAACACATTCAAAACCCAAGCGCAAGCCGAGCAAACCCGCCGGAAGCCCGCCCGACCTCAAACCAAACAGGTGAGCCCCAAGCACGCCCGGGGCTCGAGGCTCACCGGAGTAAGCTAGCGCGACTCAGCTAACCTAGCTAAGCGAACGAGGCCGGCCCAACTTTTAACCCGGACCGCGCTGAGCGAACCGAGCCCAACGGGCCCAACGCTGTTGACCTCGTAAAAAGAGCCAAACCCGGCCAAGCTAACTAAGCTGTCTGAACTGCGCTCGCCGAGCTAATAAACGCACCAAGTTAGCCTGACTAAAGTAGCCTAACTAGAGTAACTGACAAAACTGAACCAACCGAAACAAGCGCAACCAGCTCCACCGAGCAGCCAAAGCTGAGCGATGCTGGCCCAGCTTGGCTAGCTCGACGAGAATAACCTGGCCAAGAAGCTAACCGGACTAAACTGGCTGGGGTGGACTAAACCCACCAAGTGAACCACCTAACCGGGCCAACGCAGTGCAGCCGCATTGGCTCAACTATCCGGACTCCGCTGACCGAGCTAAACTAGCCCCAGTAAATTAGCTCAACTACACTGGCCGCGCGCGGCTGACCCGACTAGGCGAGCCTGGCTAGAGTAATCTGACGCGACCAGCCTTGCGAGAATAGCCGAACCAAACGAACCGAGCCCGACGCACCTCAACCACCTCGACTAGGCTGCCTTGACAAAGAGGACCTCGAGGGTACCGCGATGCAGTCTGTCACCTGCTGCCTTCAGTGGTCTGTCCAAGACCGAGTTATGTTCACTGGTGCTCACGTCCTCTGATTAGCGCTTATGGCAGCCCCCTGTCCATGCGATTAAATAAAAGTACTTATACTTTTTGAGAACAGGAGCGATGATAAAACTTTAATGAGACCAGCAGGCAGAAGGATGAATGAGACCCGACGCTATCCCTCTCTAGTCGCTTTTGTTATCATCGCAGCAAATTTGATCTAGGAAAGAGCCTCCCGCGGTCTACTCAAGAGAAATCAGCAGAAAAAGGATCTCTCGCTGCTCGCCGACCGTAACTATGACGGCAATACGGCGACAGCAATACTAGAAACAAAGATCCTCGGATCGCCACTTGTGAATGCTGCGGACACGTGTTGCAACGTGGTCCGAGCGTATGAATCAAGTTTGCTCCGCAAATCGTAAGCAGCATCAAATTCCCATTGGCATGATTAACTGCAGTGCCACTTCTGCCTACATTTGATAGTGCACTTCACTACGCGTACACTTCGCAATGCAACATGGTCAAAAAAAGCTAACCAAGAGGAGGCCCCTCTTCAGGTGGCATCTTAGCACTACCAATTTCGTGTAGAGTGGTAGTAATAGTTCCATTCAGCACTTCGTGTTGCGTGATATGTCTGTTTATGATTCCAAAAATCTTGACAGAAGACCATCCAGGACAGCGCGCTTTTATTTAATCGTCATGACGATTACCCCATAAGAAGAGGAATACTTCTTCTTCGAAGGTTTCACCACTGCCCTATCAAGGTAAGACGTAAAATGCTCTCATGCGCTGATTCGTTTTTTTTCAAGATCCGCACTATGAAGATTTTTACTTACACGAATCGACGTCACGTATACTATGGATTTAGCAGATGGGAGGATAATTGCTGATAGTTGCCCTTTTCTCTTTTCTATCTTCCTCTGGTCTTTCTTTTTTCTAGTTAGGTCGGCTCCGCCACAATTATTAAAGCACGCAGACAACAAGAACATCATGCAGAATAGTTTTCTCCAAGAACAGGTGTAGTTTGATTTATCTGCTAGGAGGATGTCGTTTTTCGTCAAAAATGGAAGTCGTTTCTGGCTCCATGTGGTCCTCGCTGTCACTTCAAGCTGCCGAGTTATTTTCCCGAACTTTGGACTTGGCGAAATGCTACAACAACAAGGTGATCCTGACACAACAAGCGCTATGGAGGTGATGTCATCAATATCATCAAATCTTGGACGAGTAGATAACAAATCTACTTGTTCGTGTAGTAGAAGTACAACAACTCGAGGATCAGCCTCTACCTCTCTCGGCATAGTGTTTGCCCAAGCGCAGGACTTACATGCAGATTGGACCAGCTACTCGGAGCAGGCTGATATGCCCATGTCAGCAGAGTGGAGGGCGTCCATGCGCGAGAAACTTCGGCAAGTCGACCCCGAAGCGCTGTCACCAGAGCAAAAAATCCGGTACAAGCAGCTGATGCGGCAGTTGAATGGCCACTCAACGGGCAACGGTGCAGCAGAAGAAGAGGAATATGGCAAGAAAACTTACTAGACACTTTGAAATAATAGTAGAAGTAGAAAATAAATGAATAGGAAGGGCAAGAGTATTCGTATGGCAAGAAAATCTTATTGTTTAGCTGGGTTAGCTCAAAGGCTGTAAAATGTCAATCATGTCTTTGAGTTGTAGTACTCTTTAGAATAGTTTACAGCTGGTGCGCTTGTAAGAACTATTCAGAAACAGCGTAGTTCCTCTATCTCTACCCGCTTAAATGCTCGTGGTTTTCTCTATTTTTGATAGAGAAATAGCAATTTATGTATATATGTTTTACATGTTTTTTCACCTCTCCGTCCTTTCATATCGGAGCCTACCCTTTGCAAAAATTCGGCATTCTGCTAGCAATTGTGGCTTTCCTCGCGTACCAGCATTTCCGCGGAGGAGGCGGAGGCGTAGCAGGTAGACAGTTCCTTAGATTCTAGAACTGATGTTGGAATTCATTTTTGTTTTGATTGATTTTGGAACGGTCATGCCGGAATTCATTTTTGTTTTGATTGAATTGATTTATGTGTTAGCTGCCTCGGCTGATGTCCCTTATCCGCCTCGGCTGGAGTCGGTCCCTTACCCGCCAGTCCCTTATCCGCCTCGGCCGATGTCCCTTATCTGCCTCGGAGACTACGTATCCGCCTCGGGGAGTCCCTTGTCCGCCTCGGCCGATGTCCCTTATCCGCCAGTCCCTTATCCGCCTCGGCCGATGTCCCTTATCTGCCTCGGAGACTACGCATCCGCCTCGGGGAGTCCCTTATCCGCCTCGGCCGATGTCCCTTATCCGCCTCGGAGAATCCTTATCCGCCTCGGAGACTCCGTATCGGCCTCGTGTTGCTTCTCCGCCTCAGCCGGTGTGGCTTAGGGAAAATCAGTGCAGCATGCACAGGCGTGCTTATCGTGGTCAAGTGCGACACCAACACGCACTGACCGTTTTATTAGTTAGAGGAGAAAAAACTATTTTACAAACCAAATAATGTTGCATTACCGTGTTTAGAATAGTTTGTTCTCCTCTAACTAAGAGTTCTCCTTCGTTAGATGAATCATCGCTGTTTCTCTTTCCCTACATTCACAGCTGCAATGGCAAGGCCGCAGACGACTGGCGCTGCAAGTGGACAGCGACTGGTTGCGCAGGATCAGTCAGAAGAGCAAAGGAGAGCTATGCGTGAAGCTAGGTTACGCACGTTCGAAAAGCCTACCTCTGAACCGATGCCAAATCCTTGGGGATAAAGTTGTTTTCGAAGAAAACGTATTTGAAGAAAACGTATTTGCAAGAACTACAGGACTAACCCAAGACCTTATGGTTTGCATCAAGTTCTAGCTCTAGCCCAGCACTATGACCCGCGAAACAACAACTTATACTTCCACGAGGACAGTCGTGCGACCAATTTAGAATAAGGTTAAGAAAGTCGATTGTCGTCGTCTGACCATCGTTAAAGAGTCGTAGCAAGAAGAAAATATTCGTCGTCGGATTTTGTTCGCTCACAACCTGGCAAGATGATAAAAGGGTGATAGTGTCGTCGTCTCCATGGGATCGCTTTTATAGGTAAATAGAGTGATGAGACGAGAGAACAAGAAATATGAGTTAAAAACCTCCTCGTGGTCGTGTTTTATCAAGCCGTTCAAGAAGTTGTTCGAAAGCAAAACAAAATGGTCATCATCATCATCATTATCATCATCATTATCATCATCATTATCATCATCATTATCATCATCATTATCATCATCATTATCATCATCATTATCATCATCAT